CGACGGCATTTTGCCGTCACAAAAACCTGAAATTTTTGTAGTGTAACTCTTTCTCTAGTTTTGGCAGGAAAAAATTAATTCATCTTGCTGAATTTTATCCCAAAGAAAGAATTTTTTTCAGTGGACCTCATGGTACTTAATAATCAACTTGATACATATACTATCGACATGCTATCCAGTAGTGAGTTCTCAATGTTAAATGGAATTGCCGATCTTGCTAAGAAAATCGTAGAGACTGGAAGAGACAAAATATATCCATTAGTGTATTTGCTCTTGACTTTAGTATTAATCTTACCTGTTGCAGTTGCTACTATTGAGATGGTATTTTCAACTATGAATATTGTGAAAAATCGGTTGCGGAACCGAATGGGTGATGAATGGATGAATGATAGCTTGGTTGTCTACATTGAGAGAGATATTTTTGATGGCATTGACAATGATACTATTATGGAAAGATTTCAAAAGATGAAAACTTGTTGGAGTCAATTGTAAAAGTCTAAAATTAAAAAAAAATTATAATGAATATTAATTTTTAATGTTTAACATTAGCTCAAAAAATTATTATTATGTTATTGTTATTGATTGGGAAAGAAAAATTTTGAAATTATAATTAATGGGTGTCCCCTATATTAAATTCTTAATTCCACCGCTGTAATAGACAATTTCTTTCTAAAAAAAAATCTCCCATTTGTGTATGAGTTTTGAATTGTATGCTTTTTGATGAAATACAAATTTTTGTTATCAATAATCTTGATTCCAAAATCAAAAACACGATACCAAAAAAATTGAAACAGCAAAAGCAAAAGAGAAAAACACAAAAATGTACTACATTTTAACAGAGATTCTTGACACGGATTCTTGAGTGTAAATGGATAAAGGTGTGAGTTATTGCACCTCATTTCTGACATGATGCACTCCTGCATCACTGCCCCTCCAGGAGCAAGAACCAAAAAAAATATATACACTGCTTATATATATATATATATTTCTTTACGAGTTACATTTGTTGCTGATTTTTTGTAAAAAAAGGAGTAAAAATATAAATTTATATTATTCTTTATTATTTTATATTACTTTTTTTTTTTGGGTAAAAAGTCAAAAAATTATTCTAAATATATATATACTTTTTTCTACTTTTTTTAAATAATTAAAAAAATATATTTATTTAGGTTATATGAAACAACCCCTATATTCCCTTCATTCCAAAATATTAGTCTCTTATTTCATTTTTTATTATCCCAAAATATTAGTCTATTTTTAAAAATTAAGAACTAAAATAATATGAATTTCTTATTTTGTCTTTCTTTTAAATTCATTAATAATATAAAAAGTACAATTATGACAATTAATATTTCCTAAAAAATGTACTATCAAAAAGTAATTTTAAAAAATTAATTTTTTTAAAGTGTAATAATATACTATTAAAAAAATGAAATTCTCCCCAAAAAATTATTATTTTGAGGCAAACGGAATGTTTCGTTTTTATCCTTTACAATCTTTTGTGACTTGTGATAGATTAAAACTAAATAAATAAATTATGGTCTTATTTGGGAAATTGGCTATTTTAATAAATTATTTTAGTTTTTGACTATTTCAGGAAGCTAAAATTTTTGTGTTTTGGAATATAATTAGATTTTTTTTGTAGTTAAATGTGATGTTTGTGAGAAAAAAAAAAAAGTAAAATGATGATGAGTTTAATGTGACATTTCGTCTTATTAACTATTTTAATTTATTTTATCTTTTATAAATTTTAGCTTAAAAAACTCAATTTTAACCTTTGTCAAACAAAACCAATAATTAAAAATTTTAGCTTAAAAAACTCAATTTTAGCTTAATGATTATAAATTTTAGCTTAGAAAACTCAATTTTAACCTTTGTCAAACAAAACCAATAATTAAAAAGATAATAATTATAGTTGAACGTGAATATCATCCTACTGTACACATAAAAAATAAATGAATAAATAAAATATTGTTGGACGGCACCAACGGTTGTCACATACGTCACAAGAGCCCACAGTGATCTCGTATGTCATACGTTTACATCCGAATTTTAAGAAAATGATAGTTCAGTTGATGTCCATCACCATTTTCAATTGTTTGTTCGTGTGATTCGTTTTCGAGCGATGCTACATTACTATCACTTCCGGCAGTGCAGTCGACACATTTGGATGCCACATCGCACGTTCGCATCATGGTGGCCTACGGAACAGGGACCCAGACCACTATCCCATGCCACTATCAGTTCCGGCAGTGCGATCCTTCACACCATAACATCACATGCACTCATGGACACAAGTGCAGAATGAATGTGGTTACCGCTTTTGAGATGAAGATTCGAATGTGAATCGGTGGTCCAAACGGCTGCGGCATACCCAAATGGGAATGATGAAACGTTGCTACACATGCCACCATCACTTCCGGCAGTGTGGTCCTTCACACCACAGCATCACACGTACTTACGGACATGGGTGCAGAATGGAGTTGTGGTTGCCACTTTTGGGATAATGATTCGAACGTGAATCAGTGGTCCAAACGGGTGCCGAATATCCTAATGGGAATGATGAAACGTTGATACGCATGTCACCATCAATTCCGATGTTGCAGTTCTTCACACCACAGCATCACACGCATTCACGGACAAGGGTGCAGAATGAAGATGTGGTTGCTACTTTTGAGATGAACGTGAATCGGTGGTCCAAACGGGTGTGGAATACCCAAATGGAGATGATGAAATGTTGATTCATCGATAAAACGTTGAATTGGTGATCCAGAAAAGATCGGGAATGTCGATCGGCTTCCTCAATTTTATGGTGGTTACGTTTGGGTGGGAACTAGAATGTGGGTCACCTTGTTTAATTTAGTTGAAGGTATATCAATTGTTTTGATCCAGATGTGAGTTGCACTCATTCAATGTTAGCTGTGGACATGTTTGGATTTGAACCCATACATCTACTTCGTGTTCACTCTCACACATCTAGTTCACACACGCACATCTACTTTGCCCATACTTCGAAACATTAAAACAATATTAGTACGCTTTTTTTATAAGGTGAAACACAAGCACCCTTACTCTCATAATTACAGTAACAATTTTTTATAATAGTTTTACCAATGGCAAATTAGTAAACAATCAGTCAAACAAGAAAACACTTAGGACAAACACCTTTACTCCCATAATTACATTAACAATTTTTTATAATAGTTTTACCAAAGGCAAATTAGTAAATAATCAGTCAAAAGGATTACTATGTTAATAAGAAAACATTCAGGACCATATAAATTACAAGACTGAAATATGAGATTTATTTATCAATTCCCCTAAAAAATAAGACAAATTATATTATACACCCAGACACGCCATAATACATGTCATAAGCAAGCAATTTGATGTTGCGAACTCGTTCATCCAAACAAAAGAGAAAGTTATTAAAGCTTGTTTTGGTAACTTAATTAAAAGTCATTTTGTTGGATCATATTATTTTTTTGTATATGTTTTATAAAAAAAATTAAAAATTAACTTTCAACTTACTTTTTAAAACCAGCTTAACTTAAATTTATCAAGTACTCATTGTCTGCCTATCAAAAACAATAAATAAATAAAAATCCTCATCGTGTAGTTGGCTTTTTCCTCCAATATATAGCACACCATTAGCTGTGCAAAAGTGCCATAAATCATGAAAATCTATTTTAAATTCTGTCTCAAAAGTGAGGGTGTGGTATAAATTTAAAAGGAATTGAATTTTATCTAATTCCTAATATGGGCTAGAAGATATTGTTCGGGCCTATATGATCTATCATAAGTTTTATTTTAATAATTCAAATTATTCATTTTGTAAGATTCTTCGTATATATTATCTACATAACAAATTAAGTTAATTTGATAATCGTTACCTATATAATTTATTACATTTGTCATCGAAAAAATAAGTGGTCTAATTTTTTAAAATATATTTATCGTTCATTTTTTTTTTTTTGACACAAATATAATAAATTGAATATGTTACAAGCGGATCGATCTAATTATTTGAAAGATAATATACATGAAAGATTTTATAAAGTGAACTATTCGAATTATCAAAATGAAACTTATGATAAGTCTCACCTACAATAAATACAAACTATTAATTATTTTTTCCGGATAAAATATATTTTGAATGTATATAGCATTGATGTTTTTAATTTGGGTAAATTATTAATAAGTTCTAATAATTGGACTTAATTCCCATCAAATCCTATTTAAAATAAATTCTAATAAAATTGTTACTAAAAATAATTTTGCGACAACTTTTTGTATATGTCGCTAAAAATTGACAATTAGTAAATTTCTTGATCACGATTTTTATAAATAGTCGCTAAAACTTACAATTAGTGACTTTTTTCTACGATAAATTTTTTAAATTGTCGCTAAAAGTTGAAAATTAACAACTTTTTTATGACAAAATTTTTAACTATCACTAAAAATGAATAATATATAATTTTTTTAATATTGTTTAATAAAAAACGTTATTAATTATGACAGAACCTATTAAACAATAAATTCAAGATCTACACGTAAGCCCCATTGTATTTTGGGCCAAAAGACGTCATTTCTTATAAGACACTTCATTCCTTACCAGATGATTATTCAGTATTCTCGGAGTATATATACGTGGTGCTCCATAAAATTTTGATTAGTAGGTAGGGGCCCACAATTTATGTTGGGAATAGGAGAATAGCACGAGCAATAATGTTAGGAATCATGAAAAATATATCATGAAATTCATCATGAAGATTTTTCATCCCTTGATTAGCGTGTGGTGTTTTATTATATGGGTAATCCAAAAGTGAAGAATCTTTCATGATCATCTTCATGATATTTTTTTCATGATTCCTAACATTCTTGTAACACGGAGACTAAATAATTGATAATTAACTTAGAGTATGATCATGTGATACTACGGGATTATTGAATAACTTCCCTTCCTTACCTCACTTGGCATAAATAGAACACAAGGAGGGCTGAATCTACATTCTATAACACACACACACACAAAATGGAGAAGCCAAAGAGAGCTCAGAGACCCCATTGTTTGGTATTGCCACACCCAATACAAGGCCACATAAACCCAATGCTCCAATTCTCAAAGCGTTTGGAGCACAAGGGAGTCAAAGTCACACTAGCCATCACCCAATTCATTTTCAACAATACCATGAATGGCACCTCCTCCAGTTCCATCTCCGTCGAGACAATTTCTGATGGCTACGACCAAGGCGGTCCTGAAGCTGCCAGCGGGGGCTACGAGGAGTACTTGCCGCGATTTCGAGAGGTCGGCTCAAAGACTCTGGCAGGGCTGGTGGTGAAGTTTGGGAACATGGGATGCCCTGTGGACTGTATTGTGTATGATGCGTTCTTGCCTTGGGGTCTTGACGTGGCTAGAGAGTTTGGATTGGTTGGAGCAGTGTTTTTTACACAGTCTTGTGCTGTGGACAATATATACTACCATGTCTACAATGGACATTTGAAGCTTCCTCTTACTGAGAGGACTAATATTACGGTTCCTGGATTGCCACCACTGGAAATCTCAGACATGCCATCTTTTGTTTCTGTTCCTCAAGCGTACCCTCCGCTGCTGAAATTGGTTGTGAATCAATTTGCAAATGTGGGGGAAGCTGATTGGGTCCTCTGCAACACCTTTCACAAATTGGAGGAGGAGGTTTGTGTTTATAGTTTTTTTCTACAGTAATGATACGTCGCTCGAAAATTTCCAAGCTCGAATTTATCCCGAATCCAAAATGACGTCGTTTTAAACGGTAGTTTTGTTTTACGAGGGGGTTATATAATGAAAATTATCTTATCGGTAAGAGAATTTTAATATATCTTACCGGTAAGAAAATCCAAAACGACGTCGATTTGAGCTGTCGGGGGATTTGGGGAACAAAACATTATTCTTTTTTCTATTAACATATATATAAGCATTTGCTTTTGATATATATATATATATATATATTTGTTTCTGTTTTGTCATGCAACAATATTACATATTCAAAAAAATTATTCATAAAAAATATATGGATTGCAAAATTTTCTAAGTATAATAGTCCACATTATATCCAAGGTCGGAGCTACAGCTACTCTAGTGGTGTTAAGTGACACCACTAGATTTCCAAAAAGGTTTAAAATATATGTATTGTTTTATTCAAAAGGTTTGGATTGTAACATATGGAACCCTGGTGACACCACTATATTCAAGTGACACCACTGCTCTAGTAGCCTTTCATATTAAATTTATATGATCTCGTGTGGGCTTTAACGTTAGGTGCACGTGATAGCTCGTGTAAAATTAAAAAATTGAGATGACATTAATAATGACATGTCAAATGATCCTACTCATTAAAACTCATGGCTACGCCATTGATTATGTCAACTTTAAATTTACATTATCCATTTCATTTTTTAAGAATAAAATTAGTATACAAATTCAAGGTACAATAGTATTTAAAAAAAACTAATTTACCGATTATTCGACCAACACACATGTTACCCACGTGAATAATTGGTAAAATAATTGTCAATTAGTTTATAACAGAAGAAAAACTCTACCATTTTCCATTTGTATATGACAACACACAAGTTGTTAATTTCAAGGGTCTAGTGGATACAATTTAAGATATGGAGATGTGCTCCCTTCAAATTTTAAGTTCAATACTAACTTTGGATCAAATCATACAGAACATTTATTCTAACTTTAAATGGAACCTGGCAAGTAAGGAATGGAATTGATTCTCTAAAATTAATCAAGGTATGCGTAGTCTAACCTGAACACCCACTTAAAATAAAATACAAGTAGTTGGTAGGTCCCACCATTGGTGTAAGCTATTCAAAATTTTTATTAGGAGAAATAATGTGTATAAATTCAATTCTAAGTAACCATCTTTGCCTGTGTTGTACAAATTCAATTCTATGTAACCATCTTTGGCCTAATAGTTGCGTGACAATGCCTTTTGGTATGAAGTTGTGAGTCCAATTCCTATGAGAAATTTTATTTTCACACGCCTAATTATTTCAGTACATATATTTAACAAATATTATTTTAATGACAATTATACCCTAAACTAAAATGATCATAATAGACATCCATTAGCAACCATAATATTATATGAAAATATTCTCTGTGCACATCTTTTAAAAACAAAAACAAAAAATTAATATACACATTTTGAGTAAAAAAAAAACAAAAAACTGAACTCTAATTTTTCCATTGATGTCACTTTGCTTGCTACACACTCTAATCCTCTATTGCTTGCAAAACAATACTCTCATAACAACTCTCATATTACTTTAATATCTAGATTTATACTATATTAGTGATGAAAATGTTAGTTTTTTTGTGCAGAACTTTTTTTTTTTCCTTTCGCGGTTTTAGTCGGACAACCAATGCCGAATTATTTCATTATATTTAGACATCAAACTGTTAAATTATTTCATTATATTCGGATATCAACTATCGAAAGTTTTTTTATTTATTTTTTTTGGAACAAATTTGTCGAATTAATCACTTTTATTCGAAAGTTAAGTTTCGCATTAAATGTATAATTTTGAAAAACCAGTGTCGAAATCCCCAAACCAAAAACCATTAAAAAAAATAAAATAAAATAAAAAAGATTAAAAAAATGCGGGGTTTATGGCAATGGAGTTCACATAGATCTGGAAATGGTAAATGCAATAACAAAATGGAAAGATGTCACATCTTCAACCATATTTTGGAGGGTTTTTAATGATTCAATAAGATCTTCAATGGAGTACTTTGTCTTCACTTCACTCCACTTCACACTGTGGTCTTGAATGGTCTTCACGTGGGTCTACAATGAATCTACAAATCTAGAAGTAAGGTCACTCAGCAAGTGTGTAAAAAAGAGAGTTGAGTGGTGTTTACAATGATTATGAGTAAATGATATAATTGTAACTTTTAGTGTGCGGATTGAGAAAATTAATTAATAATCAAATTAATAAGTGTATGTACTGCAAGAAGATGCACACTGAGATAATTAAGTATGTGAAAATAGAATTTTCCAATTTCTATGATGAGAAATTTGATATTTATAGTGATTATTTACTTCTTATTAGGAGGGTTACATGTAATTATTTTGGATTAATAGCAATTGTTTTTGACTTTCTAATTATCATTTCTAGTATTGTGGAGTTCACACCAATTATTTTTAAGTAAAATTTTAATTTAATTTTATTTTATTTTTGAGAGACCTAACTTATTATTGTTGCCTTGTTATATTTGAATGAGTGTAATTTAATAACTTTTTTTAAACAGATTTGCAAGTAAAAATTTATACAGACTAGCATGTGTGTGAATGATTTTTTTTTTTTTTTTTGAATTATATATAAGGAAGTAATAAGCAACTTTGAAATTAATGAATAATACGAATTTCACACTAGTAGATTTTTCCTATAATTTTTGTCTATATATCATTCCTTTTCTCAAACATCCAAAGTTGTTAATTTTTGCCAACTAACTGCTGTCATTGATATTGCGTAGCTGGTGGATTGGATGGCAAAGATTTGGCCTTTGAGAACAATTGGACCAACCATACCATCAATGTACTTAGATAAGCGACTCCAAGACGACAAAGAGTATGGATTCAGCATTTTCAAGCCAAAAACAGATGCCTGCATGAAGTGGCTCGACCAGCGGTCAAATGGTTCAGTTGTGTACGTCTCCTTTGGGAGTTTGGCCCAGCTTGGAGTCGATCAAATGGAAGAAATAGCATGGGGTTTGAAAAACAGCAATTACTACTTCTTATGGGTTGTGAGAGCAACAGAACAACCCAAGCTTCCCAAAAATTTCATGGCCGAGACGGTACTTAATGGCTTGGTGGTGACATGGTGTCCCCAATTGGATGTTCTAGCACACAGGGCAATAGGATGCTTTGTGACACACAGTGGGTGGAACTCTACATTGGAGGCACTGAGCTTGGGAGTTCCAATGGTGGCAATGCCACAATCGACTGACCAAACCACCAATGCCAAGTATGTCATGGATGTTTGGGGGATGGGAGTCCGGGCTCAATGCGACGAGAGAGGGATGGTGAGGAGAGAAGAGGTAGAGGGTTGTGTAAGGGAAGTCATGGAGGGAGAGAGAGGGAAAGAAATTAGGAGGAAAGAAATGAAATGGGGAGAATTGGCAATAGAGGCAGTTGATGAAGGTGGCAGTTCAGATAAGAACATTGATGAGTTTGTTGCTAAGCTGGTGAAGTCCTAAGCCTATTTATGTTGGATATTATTTCCTACTCTTTTGAGTTGTTCTATTGATGTTATTAGTTTGTCTCCTTAGTTTGGTTGATTTTCTAATTTGATTAGGAGTACTTTCTTCTGATAAAATTTTTAATTTGTATAATCTTTGTATTCTAGTAATGTATTTTTCAAGAAATGAACATGTATTCAGTTTTTTTTTGTCGTAATGAATAGCGAAATATACCTTTTGAATTTATTGGTAACATGTATTCTAATAGGCTGCATGAGATCACCCCTGTGATAGCTTTGTCCAAATTGAGGCCTGAGTACCTAATTTTTAAATGGAAATGATATATTATTAAAGTTTGACTTTTAACTATTATAATTTGATCTAAATTTTATTTTAATGTTTATTATTTTAAATTGAACAATTTAACCCTTAAACTAATTTCAGTTTCAATTTAGTCATTGTGTAAAACTTAGTGGTTAAGAACAATTTTGGGACAGAATGATCAAATTACTAAATTTGAAACTATAATAACTAAAATGAGCCGTTATTCTCACTCATTTTTATTTCATTCTTTGTCCTTATTATACGTAATTACTATTTCCACTCTATTTTATTCCAAATAAACTCTCTACTATGTATAATAAGAACCAAGAAGGGAGTGTCTTTAGAGTGAAATTGAGTAGAAATAGCGACTCCCTACCTAAAATGAATATATATCAAACTACAATAGTGAAAAGTCCACACAAACTTTTATTTAAAATTTAGGACAAAATACGTCAATAGTCCCTTTGTATCATTTCAGTCCCTATATTTTTAATTTGCTCAATTTTAATATTTAATTTTAAATTTTATATTAATTTAATCCAATCAATAACTTCCATTATGTTTTTTAACAGAAAAATTCAAGTGCACCACATGTGACATATTCTGAGGGGCAGAATAAACATTTTCATTCCATCCCTACAACATTTGAGACACCCACCACTATGTAGCTCCTCCTCTACTGCCAGTGATAAAATACAATTTTTTAAAATATTTCAATATAGTTTTTAAAAATATTTCAACATTCTTATACAATACATTCTTCAAAAATATTTTAATATAATTGGATAAATTACACTGACCTCTACAAGGTTTCTTAAAATGACTTAAACTTCTCATGAGGTTTAATTTTTAATTGCATTGATCTCCTTGAGATTTAATAAAATGTAGAAACTTTTCCTAGACTTTCTCAAATGACATAAATTTTCTTTGAGATTTTCTTTTTGTAATGAAATTACAAAAACCTCTTATGTGGTTTATTTTTTTTATTATAGGCTCTTTTTTCTATTATTTTATCGTAAAAGAATAATTGAAAATATTTACATCATTAAATAATTTAATTATATTTTAAATTTACCCTTTAAAGCTATATCCAATTACAAATAAATAAAAACATATATAATTTTATTTTTTCTCTTTATTATGCCTACAATTACTGTTGATTGTGTGTGTCTCCTTTATCAAAAACTGCCTAGCATTGTAAAAAAAATAACATAAAATGTTGATATCATTAAATAATTTAATTACATTTCTAGTTTTACCTAAGACTAAAAACGAGTCGAGTTAAGTCGAGCTTTGTTGAGTTTAAGCTTGGCTCGTTTACTTATCGAGCTCATTTATTGAGCTCAAACTCGGTTCAATAACTAATTGGGCTTGAGCTCGGCTCAGCTAGGCTCGATAAGATTTTTATTATTATTATTTATATTCTTTAATACATAATTTTGTATTTATATTATTTAATACATAAATAATGTATTTATGTATTATTTAATATATATGTATTATTTAATATATAAATAATATATTTATTATATGATTTAAATAAAGATAAATGAGCCGAGCTTGTTCGAGTTCGAGTTCAACTCGTTTCTTTTTATGAAATATGGGTTGGGTATGGGTTGGGTTTGAAGTGATGTGATAGAGAGGTGATGTGACTTAAATAAGATGATGTGACTTAAATAGGATAGTGACTTTTTAACTTTTTTGACTTTTTTAGAGTATCCCAAACAAGGCCTGAGTGTCTAAATAAGAATTGTATTTTTTCTATTTCTTTATAATTGGACACAATTTTAAAAGGTAAATTAAAAATATAATTAAATTATTAATGATGTTAGCATTTTTTTTTTATGATAAAGTAATGGAAACAAGAATCTATAATAAAAAATTAAACCTCAATAGAGGTTTTTGTCATTTTAAAAATCTTAGAGGACGTTTCTATAATTTTATTAAATCTCAAGAGAGATCAATGTAATTGAAAATTAAACCTAAATTTTTTTATTTTTTATTTTTTTTTTTGTGGTCATTTTAAAAATCTTAGAAGAGGTTTTTACATTTCATTAAATCTCAATGGGGCCACTCTATTTGAACCCAAAAATTATCTCAATACACTCAACTTAAATTTTAAAATTTTAATTTATGTTATACCTAATATGAATTTACTAATAAGAACAATACATATTAAACATTAAAGTAAAATATTATTTTTTTCTCATGGTACACCATAATCAATTACACATATTACTCCTATTCAAATCTCTTCATATTCTTCCCCAAGTTTCAATTATTTTCTTTTCTTTTTCTTCTTCACTCCAAAACTCCAAATTCCAATCCACCCACCAAAACTCACTATTATCATCAATATCATTATTTTTTATTTTGTTACTTGCAAATAGAAGAAAATTTGAACAAAATCAAATAATGGATGAGAATAATAATCAAATAATTTTTTGAAAGAGGACTGCTATTAACACCCATCTTTATTCTTTGGAATCTCCATTTCTTTGAACCTCCATCCTAAATCCTAAATTTTAATAATCTTTCTTTTAACACCCCACTTAACACTAAATTTACCCCTATTCATAATATCATCACCCAAGTTATGCACACCCACCTCATTTGCACATCCTCTCCATCAGTGAACAACAAATGATGGTTCCTCTCCATCAACAAATTGAAGAACGACAATCCCTCTTTCTCTTTGATTTATTCAAAATCCTAAACCCATTAATAGTGAAAAACACCATTGCATCTCGTTTGAAACTAAACGACAGTGAATGACAGTTCTTCGCTTTTATACCATTGCATTTTTGTGGTTCTCCAACTCATCTAAAACTAAGAATGACGATTCTTTGATTTTATACCATTGCATCTCTGTGGTTCTCTGTTCAGTACAGTGTTATCGAACCAAAACGATTCGTTCAACATTGTGTTGCCGAACATATATGACTTGTTCGACATTGTGTTGATGAACATAAATGATTTGTTCAGCACTGTGTTGTCGAACATAAATGACTTGTTCGACATTGGGTTAGGGATTTTTGAAGAAAAATTAATTTGCTTGACTTATCTAAACTATTGATTTCTTATATCAATGAATGGTGAAATTAACGAATGGTGACAATGATTTGAATCAACGATTTCAATCCATAGTGACAATGATTTCTGGTTTAGGGTTTAGGATGGTGATGAGAAGATGAATACCGTTTAAGGTTAAGGTTGGTGAATGGTCTCTGTCGAATGGTTTGGTAGGAGTAGAAGTAGGTGTACAATGTTGTAGAGTGTGATTCTAATTGTCTTCATTTGGTGGATGGATGTTCCATTGAAGGTTGTCCTTTATTGTAATTTTACTTTATGTTATATTTGTAATGAAAAAGAAGTTACAATTAGGGTCCAAAGAATAAAGATAGGTGTTAATAGCAGCCCTATTTTTTAAACAACTTATCAAAGATGAGGTAAGTATTCACATAAATATCAAAATATAATTATTGATTTTTCTTTTTTTCTTTTTTTTTTTTGCATAAAAACAAATATTTAGTCTATTTTTGTTATTATTGTTCGGACTTTCAGAACCTAACAAATTTACTTTGTTCGGTAGTGTACAGCTGAACAAAGTGAATTTGTTCGATTCTGAAAGTTTAAACAAATTCACTTTGTCCAGTTCTGAAAGTCCAAATAATAATGACAAAAAACAAGTTAAATATTTGTTGTCCTCCTTTGTCATTCTCCTTCTCTTTTGCCGTCCTCCTTTGCCGGTGTCAGTTTTCCTGATCATGTTCCATGTATGTACATAAACGAAAAAAAAGTTTTTTCAAAAATAATTTGAATTTTTTAATTTATTTTATTTGGATGTACCTTAAAAGAATAATTTGAAAAAAAAAAAGAGAAAAAGATGTATTAAGAATAAATTATAACTTTAAATAATTTAACAGAGTCTATTAAAAAATTAAGCTCACTTAAACATATGGCTTTGTTGGGGAACATATTATTTTAGTAATTTTTTAATTTTTTAGCTAAAATATGAGGTAAAAAAAATATGTTTGAAATGATTTTTTGATTTTTTATTAAAAAAAATGTACAAAAAATAAAGAGAATTTTTTTAAAAAAATTTATTAGATTATTAGTTTTTAAATTTTTTTAATAATTATTTAATTTTTAAAGTAAAATATTAAATTACCAAACGAGGGCCAGTAAATAAAATCCCCCACCTCAATGGAATCATGAAGCGAAATTTGTGTGAGGGAAGTGTAATTTACGTAATATAATTTTTACGAATATGGCAATATCAACAATTTTTTTATTATAAAATTTCATATAAATAAATAAATAAATGAATACTAGGTAGGGCCCAATGGCAGTCATCGCTCTCCCGCAGTTATGGAAGAAGAAACCCCACACCAAAAAGCAACAGAACCGAATTGACCAGAGAAGAGACCCTCCATTACTCAACCCATTCATTGCTATGATGAATTTCTTTCTCATTTATCTTTTGCTTTCCTAGCAAACAAACACGCCCTACCCCAAAAAACCGAATCAAGATTCCCTCCTTTCATTTCCTATTTACAAGGCCATTGGGTTTATTTTAGGGTCAATTTTGTTAATTTGAACTGTTCATATTTCAAGATTTGTTCAGTATATATTTGTAAAAAATCAAGTTGATTGCATATCAGAAACTATGTGTTCGAAAAACTCGAACTAAAAATTATTTTTTTTAAAAATTTAATAAACAATTTTTTAAACACATATTTTTTAATATCTGAGCAATTTAATTTTTTTATAAATTTAATATATTAGACAAATCTTAAAATATAAATAATTAATTAGGCCTAAAAGTGGTTTTAAGGAAGAAATGCAACGAGTCGATCTAGATTCCAAAAAACCAACTACATTTCTACTCTACGCCTTTCAACTTTTCCACCATTTTCAAACCCCAGAAGCTCATACACCCAGTTCTTCGTCGACAAAAACTGACCCCATTGAAAAAAACCCACTTCTTCAATTACTCCTCAAAACCCTCTTTGATCATCAAAACCCCGCTAAATCCCCTCAAAAACCCATTTCAAGAACTACCCAAGATTCCATGGATTCCAATTCCAATTCCTCTCACTCCAATACCATTCCTGTTTTTTCCACTTTAACTTCCCCTTTCGAGAGTTCCCCTCATGCCGATGATGTTCCCAGGAAGCCTCTTAGCTTGTGGCCTGGAATGTACCATTCACCTGTCACCAATGCTCTGTGGGAAGCAAGGTCTAACATCTTTGAGATACTCCTTGACCCACCAGTTGATGCCCCTCCACAGAGTCAATTGCTCACCAAGACTCCCTTTCAGAGCCGGACCACGATTCTGTATAATTTCTCTACTGATTATATATTAAGAGAGCAGTATAGGGATCCATGGAATGAGGTCAGAATTGGGAAATTGCTTGAAGACCTTGATGCCCTTGCTGGCACCATCTCAGTCAAGGTATTATTGTCTTCCATTTCTTGCTTGTTTCTGTGCTTTTCAACATTTGGGTTTTTGGGTTGTGCTTGCAATTCAATTGTCTGAACGCAGTTGTGATTGCAGCAGATATCTTTTGTTGTGTGCCTGTGTTTGTGAGTTTGCTGATAATGAATTCATTCCTTAGATTACATATCATCAGGCTTATTAATTGTATGGATTGTTCTTCTCCTAAATTAAAATTTTATGTTTTTACACTGTCATTGGAAAGATGGGTAATGGGTGACATGTTAGCGAGTGTTTACAAAATTGACAGTGTGCCTTATTCTGGGTTTTTGATCAATTTTTTGTTGTTGATACTAATGACCTTTATATGTGCCATGGCCTGTGTATATTAGCTTGAAGAAGCATTTACATTTTATACACGTGTATAAACCAAACCAAACCATGCCTTAAGTCCCATCAAATGGGGTCGGCTAATCCTTCTTCTCCGCTCGATTCTATCCAAGGCTATTTCGTTAGTCAAATTAAGGACGTTCATATCTCTATTTACTATACTAGCCCATGTCAATCTAGATCTACCCCTTCTCCTAACACTTTCATCTATCGTCATCGTATCTCTTCACTACTGCTTCTGTTGGTCTCCGTTATATATGACCAAACCATCTCAATTTATTCTCTCTCAACTTATGTTCTATCCGTACTACTCACGAATATACTCATTCTTAACTCTATCTTTTCTAGTCTTGCCACATATCTACTTTTGCATACTTATCTCAGCAATACTCATATTATCTACATGTTGTTTCTTAGTTGCCCAATATTCCGGCCCATACAATATCGCTGGTCTCATAGCCGTTCTATAGAACTTCCCTTTTAGTTTAGAGGGTACTCGTTTATCACATAGCACCCTAGACGCACTACGCCATTTAAGCCATCCCGTCTTAATTCTATGAACCACATCCGCTCCAATCTCCCCAGCCGTTGTGATAATCGATCCTAAATAATGAATATGTTCACTTCTAAGAAGCACGGACACTTCTAAGAAGGTGACGTATCCGTGTCGGACACCGACACTCTTCGGACACTTCCCCAACACGTGTCTGACACTCTTCAAAACATGTCTTATTTTTTATTTATTTTTTTAAAGACTCGGACACTCTCTGTCTGGACACTTAGAGAACATATACGTCTATCGCTTAAACACACAATTAGACACAAGTGAAGCTAATTATAAGTTTGTACAAAACAACTTAAGATATAATAATAAAACAAAAACTATATAAATTTATAGGAATTAGTGTCATTGTATTTTTTATTATCTTTGAATGATATATTCGTATATATAACATATAATAAATATATAAAATTATATATTTCATGCATGTCCTCCACGTGTCGTGTCCTGCATTTTTTTGAAAATTAGCATGTTGGGGTGTCCGTGTCGTGTCGCGTGTCTGTATCCATGCTTCTTAGGTTCATTTTTAAGTAGTTCTTAATTCTTAATCTTCACTTCTCCTTTGCTTCCATTATTACTGTTACTAAAATTACACTCTATGTACTCTGTCTTAGTTCTGCTTATCTTAAATCCTTTAGATTCAAGTGTTTCTCTCCAAGTCTCCAACTTAGTGTTAACTCCTTCTCTAGTCTCATCCACAAATACGATATCATCTACAAAAAGCATACACTATAGCGCATCATCTTGAATATTTCTCGTTAACTCATCCATAACTAAAGCAAAAAGATACGGACTTAAGGTTGATCCTTGATGTAACCCTACAGTAATTGGAAATTCATTTGTCTCTCTAGCAGACGATCTAATAGTGGTCACCACACCTTCATACATATCCATAATCACATCAATGTAACTTTTTATCACCCCTTTCTTCTCTAACACCCACAAGATTATATCCTAAGGCACTCTATCATATGTTTTCTTAAGATCGATAAAAATCATATGAATGTTTCTTTTCTTTTCTTTTCTCTATACTTTTCTATTACTCTCTTCAAAAGATCAATTGCTTCCATTGTTGACCTACCAGGCATAAACCCAAATTGATTTTCTGACGCCTCTATTATATCTCGCAATCGACGTTCCATCACTCTATCCCACATTTTCATTATATGACACATTAGCTTGATTCCTCTATAGTTGTTGCAATTTTAGAAATCTCTTTTATTCTTATAGATTGGCGCCAAAATACTCTTCCTCCACTCCTCTCGCATTTTCCTAGTCAACAAAATCTTACTAAATAACTTAATCAATCAAGTAACCCCCTTCTTACCCAAACATTTCCAAGCTTCAACAGGGATATCATCTTGTCCTAAAGCCTTATTTGATTTCATATTCACAAGTGCAATCTCTACTTCAAAGTTCCTAATCCTATGATAGAACCTGTTGTCCTGATTTTCCTTATTACTGCCTACTTCCTTCCCTTTTGACCTACCTCCATGTTCCTCATTTAACAACTTTTCAAATTAGTTTTTCCACTCTTTTTTTCGTCTTTACTACCACTTCAACCTTCTCTCTCCACCACCAAGTTTCCCTAGAGTTAGGTCCCTGTCCTTTGGACTCTTTAAGGACATCCGTTGAGATTCTCCTCATATAATTGGCCATTGAGTTTCACATAGTGTTAGCATCATCTTCTGTTAAAATCCACCGACTCTCCACCTACTTCACCCACTTAAACCTACTCCACTAAACCTAACCTCCTCATATAATTGGCCATTGAGTTTCACATAGTGTTAGCATCATCTTCCAAGTCTCAAATTCCTTCTTTATTCATTCTATTATTAAATATTTCTAGTTTATCCCTTTTAAGTCCCACCATCTCGTCCTACGATGCTCACTATCCTTCCTAGCTTGGTATTGCCTTTTAAAGCATAAATCTAGTACTAAAATCCTATGTTGAGATGTTAGGCTCTCTCTAGAAATCACCTTACAGTTGTTGCATTTTAGACGGTCCACTTTTCTTACTAAAAATAGTCTATTTGGCTCCTAATTGACCAACTCTTAAAAGTTATCAAATGTTCCTATCTCTTCTTATACATAGTATTGGCCACCACCAGGTTAGAAGCCAACGCAAATCTAAAATACTCTCACTAGCCTCATTTCTATCACCAAAACCATACCCACCATGCACCCTCTCATAACCTAATTTATCTATTCCTACATAGCCGTTGAAATCATCCCCTATAACTAGGTTTTCTCTTATGGGTATCTCCTGTAATATCTCATCCATTTGGTCCAAAAAATCTTAGTCTGATCATCTAATCCTACTTGTGGTATGCACTAATAACGTTCACTATATTCTCTCCAATAACTAGTTTAACCAACATAATCCTATCACCTTTCCTGATAACTGCCACTACATTTTTTACAAAACCCTTGGCAACTATTATTCCTACCCCATTCCTATGTCTATCCTTGCCACTATAATACAGGTTAAAACCGTAGCTTTCTCACCCGTTCACGTAGTTTCTTGTACGCAAGTTATACCAACTCCTAATTTACGGATATTACATCAATCAAATCTTTAGAACAAATGAGGTAAATATGAAAATAATATAAGGCTGAAATCAAGGCAAAAGTTCACTTAATAGGGCAAACTGATGAGGAGCGAGTGCACCATGAGTTTTTCATGAAGTAGAAGGAATCGAGAGGAAGACAGATTTCGTTAAGACATCTGCAGTTTGGTTCTCCATATGAACAAATTGTGTATTAAAGGACGCCAATGGTGATAAGGTCACTAAGCAGAGTTTGTCACGGAGCAGAAGGAATCGAGAGGAAGACAGATTTTGTTAAGACATCTGCAGTTTGGCTCTCCCGTATGAACAAATTGTGTATTAAGGACGCCTATGGTGATAAGGTCAGTAACAAAATGATAATCTATCTCAATATGTTTTGTGAGAGCATGACAAACTGGATTGGCAGTGCTGTAGTTAGCACTAACATTATCACAGTAAGTGAGATGTGAAGTCCACAAAGAAGAAAACAAGCCATGTGAGTTCAGCAACAGTAGAAGCCTAAGGAGCACGAACACTGACATTGCGATTCTAAAACAGTTAGGATATGAACGCGGGGAGGTATATGGAAAACAAAAACAATTTAATATATTTTTAGTTACAATGTTTATGAATATAAATTTAGGATACATAGATATGAGAGGCATCGATGTATACGTGTTGTAGTTTTTTTAGTTGACCCCACTTGATTGGGGCACGAGGCTTAGTTTGGTTTGATTTGCTTTTTTCATTTTTATTTCCATTTATTTTACTTTTGACTCCAAATCAACATTCAAAAATCATGAAAAAAATTCTACAAAGGTGTCCTGAAGCGTGTTCACAGACAAGGCATGTGTGTCCATGAAGTGTTCATAACGTGTCCTGCAAAAAACTAACAATTAAAAAAATTGACATGCCACGTGGACACAAGTGCCCTCGTTTTGTCAGTGTCCTTACCTCATCGGACATGGACACCACCAATCTTGGAGTGTTGGTGCTTCTTACGTGGACGCTAAGGCATGATATTCTGCTTAGCACTAAACTGTGCAACAATGAGTTGTTTCTTGCAAGGTTAGGATCAGCACTCCAAGATTGGACCAAGGAAGATGCAATACGCCCATCATCTAGACCACCAGTCCAATCAACGTCAGAGAAGGCATGTAATTGAAAAGAAGAGTATGGTGTGAGATGCATGCCAAGATGAATGGTACCTTTGATATACCAGAGAATGCCCTTCACAGCCTATAAGTGAACTGTAGTAGGGGAATGTATAAACGTTAGGCTTGATTGATGGCATAAGTAATATCAGATCAAGGCATGATAAGGTATTGAAGTGCACCCACAATTTGCCTATAAAATGGAGGATCAGATAATCGGTCTCCATCATGGATAGATAGCTTAGAACCAGCCAGACTGGTGTAGAGCAAGGTTTGGTTTCCAACATGGTTGCGTGTCAGACAAGAGCAAGCATGTGTTTGGAATGAGATAGATGAAGTCCCTGAGAAGTAAGCTTAGTGTCA